AAACATGTAATTTATATGAATAAAATATTAAATTCAATTATTGGTTTGATAGAGTATAAATTGGACACAAAATTGTATATAACATTATAACTAATGTAAAAATTTATTTAAATTACACCAATATACCTAGATCTTGAGTATTTTTTAATTTTTTTTTCTTATCAATATAAAATTATCATGTTTTAAAAATTGGTTACAAGAAGAGAAATGGCCTCTTTACTTAAATCCTAAATGTTTTCTTTATATTTGAAATGACTCCTATAATTCAAATTCCAAAAATATAAATTTAGTAAATAAAAATTATTGCATCATATTTGACACTTTTTCAAACCTTAGGAGGGCGCTGCCCACCGGTCCTATACTAGATCTGTCCCCGCCCTTCATGCAATAATAGTATTCTTAGTTTGATTTTTCCACTTTTGAAACAAAAATTTTCAGATGAAAATTTAACATATCATAACAAATAAAATTAAGAATTTTGCAGCCTAGGTGAAATTGCCACAGCATTTAAAATTTTACAGAGTTTGTTGGATTGAATTTTCATGCAAAAGATTGGTGCTTTGAAACCTTAATTTTATTGGTATATGAGTAGAAGAAAAACTAAAATTTGATATCAAATTGAAAAAATTAGAAGTCTGAGAACTAAAGTATCAATCGAATGTAAGTCAAGGAGCCAATATTGCAAATAATGGCACCATCGTATTTAGAGTTAACGGATTTTCTAAAGAAAGGATTAGATGTTTTAATGGAAAGAACCATTTTGGTACCAAATTGAAATGTTGAGGGACACAAATGGTACAAAAAAAAAGATTTAAAGACTATTTTTCCTTTAAAAAAATTCAAGAACTAGAATTAATACTTTGACGAATAAAAATAAAAAAACCCAATAAAAAAACATTATCATATGTTTTGGAACTTGGAAGTGCCCCTGCTAAAATAAGACTAACTACCGTAAAGTGCATAAAAGTTGTTTTAAGTTCTGACATTCAAAGACATGCTGCATACGCTAATACACAAACATAATTTTTCAATCCTTTTTCCTAGTTTGGGGAACAGTTCATCTGAACATGATTCTCTTTACCATACTAACCATATTACAGTGGAAAAACAGAAAACGAAATTTAGAAATATTGTACAACATTGGATGCACGATCAAATGTATGCATATATATGTATCATAGTCTGACCTCGGGTTTTATGGGCTCAACTGCCCAAGAAATTATCGACTTTATCGTTTGTTGCCCTTGACAGAAACTTCATGCAAATTGGGGGCTTAACGCCTGCTAAAGCAAGTATTGAACTAGGCAAAGTCCATATGCCATCCCCACATATCAAACCAGAAGCCACTGCTGGCCCAAAAGCATC